AAAAAAAAAAAAAAAAAAAAAAAAAACCACACATGGGTAAAATTAAACGCACATATATATATATATATATATATATATATATATATATATATATATATATAAAAACATCAAGTGAAAAACGACCGGGTAATCGAACTTTGAAGCAGAAAATTCCCGAGGAAGCCTTTTCCTACCAATCGCAACTGACCCTGCTGCAGAGGCACACATGTGTATTACAAATCTACATTGCCATGTGTTCCAAGCGCATCTTTAATTGCATCCCTGGGTGCTACACCATAAAAGGGACTTCTCCGTAGAGATTATTATTATGCCTAAAATGGAAGCAGCCTTATATCGGATGGCAGAGGGCACCTTGGAAAGAGAGGACGCACATAGGGTGGTGCCACAAAAAAAAAAAAAAAAAAAAAAAAAAAAAACACACATGTATACCCTACCTGTGTATGCCCCACTACCTTTTTGCTCAACTGCTAGAAGAAATTTGCTTCCAGGTTTACCTCACCGGGGGATACTTCACGGGTGTGTGATGCCCCCGTGCGCATAAAAGTTCCTCTAAAATGGATGAGCCATCAGGAAATGGGGATCCCTGCTTGGTAATTAGAGCGGCGGAGCGATCGGTCTTTGTAGCGATGATGTAGAAGCAGCATAACACATGCATTTAGCAGCCATTTTAGAGATCATGTAAAAAAAGAATATTTTTTTCCCACCATCACCACCATTTTTCAGAGTTACCAAGGCAGGAAGAAGGACCCACCCACCAACAAATGTAAAAAAAGGCATTCATTTCGTCCCCTGTTGTTCATGTGGCTACCCGATTAAGTTCTCTTCCTGTGGAGAAGGAAAAGGGGCAAAAAAAAAAATTCCTTGCGGACACGCTTCTGTGCATTTTCCCTTTTGCCGTCCCATAATGTATAACCTCTTTAACTCTCCCCTTTTTTTTTCCGCCCCCCCCCTTTAAGATCATATTGAAAATTTAAAGGGCAGTTTAGAAGGCCTATTGAACGATGGGAATTGCCTGTCCGAGTTGGAGACACTAAAAGAATCCCTAACCAAGCTGGAGTTATACTCAGAGAGGAATAATGCGGTATGGAAAATATTGGAGAATTCCTTGTGGCGAGTCTTCGAAGCGTTACTCCCTTGGTGAAGCTAAGAAGAAGCTACATATACATGCACGTCCTTCCTTCATTTAGGACCTGCCCTTCAATGTTGGAATCACGGAGCGAACCAGCAGTGCCTACAATGACAGAACAGTAGGAAGAAAAAAAAAAAAAAAAAAAGGGGCGTGAGCCCAAGTAAAGCTTATCTACTCCCATTTGTATTATTCACTCCAGTCCTGTTCACCTCCCTGCCTTATGCTCCATTTCACGATGACACATTTTTGTTCTTCTCTCCATGCACGCATGACAGTGCGCGCAGCTGAGGAGGGAACTCCTAAAACAGAAGAACCTAAATTGGTGCCTGTCTCTGAAGGTGCGAAGTATACACATGAAGCTAAACAGCCTGTACGCCAAAAAGGATCAACTCGAAAGGAGTGTGCAAAATAGGATAAAAAAAATGGAGTTGCAGTTCCTCCCTGAGGGAAGCAAGCAAGGCGATTTGCAGGATCAGGTAAGAAAAGGGGGGCGAGACATGATGCAGTTGTGCTTGGCTCCATTTTGCAAAGTCTACACATCTCAATGTAAAGCACATGTCGCACGGTGGCCAGTGGAAAAAGTCGTGAAGTCGACATGCCCCGTCCCCACCTTTATTATTATACCCCCCGCCCCTCTGTCCACAGAGTACTGCAGAAAAGGAAGGCCACCGAGGAGACCCAACAAATGAGGAGACCCTAAATGAAGAAAAAAAAACAGTGGAGGAATTAAAAAGAATGCTAGTAAAACATGAAATGCATGTACAGGCAAGTGAAGTTGAGAAGGTCAAATCTGAATTAGAACTGAAGACCTGTAAGGACAAGTTAAATGAAGAAATTGAACGGAATGAAAATTTATACAAGAAGATTAAAAATTACCAAGATCATTTGGAGAGAGTAAAAAAGGAGGAAGAAAAATGTATGGATGAACTGGATGAACTTAGGGTTCAGCTGCAAAAGTTTCGAAGTGAAAATAGCCAAGTGGAGGAGAAGAACAAACTTCTGCAAGAGGAGAAGGTCAGATTAGCACAAGCGAATAATGTGTTGAAGACAAGGCTGCAATCTGTGCAGGCGTGCTTAACCGAGTTAAGAAACAAGGAGCGCGCCTTCGCCAGCTGTTCGCGGAAGATAATGAGTGTCGTTACATTTCTGCGGGAGAGTGGCAAAGGGGGGGGGTTTGCGCTTGGGGGGAAGTATGGCGGTGGGTTGTGCGACACGTTGAGAGATACAATGGACGAATCGTTAGGGTACGCATGGGGGGTAAGCGTGGATGAGGCAGAGGGTCCTCCCCCCCTGGATAATGTTCTGACAACCCCCCTGCGCGGAAACACCACCTTTGCGCAGACGGAGCTGCAACTGGATGCCATTTGGACCTCCATCCGGGCGTTGGTCGGGGTGAAGAGGGAATTCGAGGTAAGTCGGGCCACGTGTTAAAGAGGTCGTCATCATCGCGTCTTCACAACTACTTCTTTCTAACGGCGTCCTTTGTGTTCACTTGTTTTTCTTCCCCCCCCCCTCGCAGGGCCAAAAGGACGAACTGGAGAGAGCGCGAGCCGAGGTGCACGCCGCGAAGAAGGAGCTCGAAAGGAAGAGGAGGAGCTACGAAGAAGTTAAGCAACAAATAGGAGAGCTGCAAACAAGGCAGCAACGGAATGAGGAAGAAGTTACTAGCGCGAAGGAAAAGGACGAGAAAACGATTATGCAGTTAAGACAAACATTGCAGGAGGAAACCAAGCTTACAAACAAGTACAAAAACAGAAATGAATACAACCTGATGAGAATTAGACGATTGAAGAGGAGAGAAAGCAAAATGTTTTTTCAAATTAATCAGTTGAAGAGGTATGTAGAGGAGAATAAGTCCATGTTGGACAGAGCAAATGAAATGAGTAGCAATAAAATTAAACATATGAAGCAGAGGAACAAAGAGTTGATTACGAACCTAGATGATATACACATGCAGTTGCAAAGATGTGTAGGTCAAGTAAACACAGCTAGTAAAAATATGAAAGTGATGGAGAGAGAGAAGCAAAAGGTTACTCAACAAATGCATATGCTTAAAAATGAAAATGGAGAGCTAGCCAAAGAATTACAAACATGTAGAAACAAAAACGAAGCAATGAAAATGAAGGTGTACACATTGAATAGCAGAATGAGTAAAATAAAAGAAAAAATGAAATGCGCTAATATAAGATTCACAAAGGCACTGAAACATCATAGCAAGTACAACAGGAGTTATAAGGAGGGACTGTGTCGGAAGAATGAATACCTCGAAGAGATGGAGAGCAAGCAGAAGGAACTACAAGAAGAATTAAAGGAGAAGGAAAAGACCATTGAGAAAAATGATCAATGCATACAGAAATTAGAAGAAGCAATTAAAATGTACGAAAAGCAGAAGGAAATGCTAAGTGAAGAAATAAAAAAAAAAAATTTATTAATTGCAAGTAAAGAGGAAAAAATCGACATGCTTAGTACTATAGAAAATGATTTGCTAAAGGAAGGAAAAGTCAGCCAAATGAAGCTGATCGAACGGGACAAGGAAATAGAAGGTCACCTCGTGCAGTTGAAAAAAATAAAAGTGGAAAATGTAAAGTTAAATGAAATGGTTAATAAAGTAAAGAAGGAATTGATAAACTCAGAGCTGAGATGTAAAATGGCCTACAGAGATATGGACAAATTGAAAAAGGAAAAAAAAAAAATAATAATAAGTCTGCAGAACGACTTAGAGGAGAAGGAAAAGTGCCTCCAAATTACAGACGAGCGATTCGAAAAAATCAGACGTGAAAGGGAGGATGGACAGTATACCTTCCAACACGAATTGAAGGTTTTGCAAAACCAGGTGGAAGAACTAACAAGAGAAAAGGAAACGTTTCGGGGACAAGTGCAGCAACTGAATAATGACCTACAACAATCTCAACAACAGGTTAAGGAAGAAATTAGAATGAATGAGGAGGGGAAGAAACAAAACGAAAGTCTCCTCAACCAAGTGAATGAATATAAGAAGAAGATAAATAAACAGGAGGAAGAAATAAAGACGCTTCGAAATGTACAACACACTTCTGAACGGAAAATAATGGAAGAGTGTAACCATAATGAGGAGACACTAAAGCAGCGCTTTGAAGAGGAGAAACAAAATTTGAAGGTCCACTTTGAGGCACTAATTAAGACACAGAAGGAGGCACATCAGGAACAAATAAAAATGATGGTTATTCAGAAGGAGAAAGAAATGGAAGCTTTGTCCAAAGAAATGCAAGCGGAGAAAGAGCGATGTCAGAGAGACGTAGAATCAATGACGGAGAGACACAAGAAAGTGGTCACACAAATGAAGGAAGAAAGACAAAAGGAAATTAACCAAATGAAAGATATTTGCGAACAGAGCCGGAAAGCAGAACTGCTCAAAATTGAACAGGAAAAAAATTTGCTGAGTAAAATTGATGAGTGCACCTCCCTGCTGAGGGAGAAGGATGAAGAATTCCGGTCCGCCATACGGCAGTATGACCAGAAGCTACAAGATCAAAATAGGGAAATGGAAAAATTGGTGAACGAGTGTGAACTGAAGCTCAGGGAGGCACGCGTGGCCAGGCGAGGAGGTACCAGTGCAAGCGCCGCGGAGGAGGAGGTCTCCAACATGGGCAGTGGGGCGAATCCTGCTCAGGACATACACTCTGCCACGATTGCGCAGCTGGAGGAAAATTTGCGCGGAAGCGAAACGAAGATTTGTCAACTCGAGAAGGAGCTGTTCGACTCGAGGCGAGAGTTGGCCGAGTTGGCTCAGAAGAACCGCGACCTCGCAGACGGAAAAGCGGAGGCAGACAAGGAGGTTGCCAATTTGGTGGCGGAAAATGAGAAGCTGAAGGAAGAGATGCAGAGAGCCACCTCCCCCCTGAGTGCTCCCCCCTTGGACGGTTCTCCCCTACTTACCATTTTGCCCTTTCTTGGGGGTGACAGTGCACCGGCCGCGCCGGAGGAAGAACCCTTGCCAGTGGTGGCAAAGAAAAAAAAAAAGAAGCATAAGAAAGGCACCTCCGGAAAGGAGCGTCATGAAACGGAAGAGAATTGCGACGAGGAAAGTAACATGAAGGAGGAGACGGAGGAGGGAAAGAAGACTGTTCACAAGAAGAACAAGAAGTCGGCGAGGAGGAAAAAAGGAAAAGACATAAGTTGTTCGGAAGATAGGCATGATGAGGAAGATGCGGGCGATGGAAACCTTCGCGACAATGAGGACACACGAGACGACACTGAGGAAGGGGACGCACTCCTCGACGCAGACACAAATAACGTATCCCCCAGTCTAATCTCAACAAACGAGCAAAACTGCTACGTATTCCTAAACACCATAAGCGTGAAATTGGATGAAATTGTGGACAAGCTCAAAGCCAAGGAAGACCCCCTGCTCATAAATGATGCGCTGAATAAGATAAATCTGGCCATCACGACGTGGAATTTGTTTGCTGACCCGAACGCGCCAACTGCGGAGGAGGCGGATGGGGAGACCGCACCGGATGGAGAAGTCCTCTTAGATGAGGAGACCCTACCGGATGGTGAAGCCGCACAGACTGGCGAGACAGAACCGACCGATGAAGGGATAGGTAAGGGGCACTTGTCCGATGAGCGGTACGAAGCTCTTAAGAGAGAAGTCGCAGAAAAGGTGGAGCTCATTCGCCAGATGGTGTGACGGAGGTGGGAGGAGATATCTCCTCTCCGTTATGAACATTCAAAAGTGTGCGTAGAAGTGGTTTGTTTGTTTTTTTTTTCCTCATTTTTTTCACATTTTTTTATTTTGCCCATATTGATTTGATGAGCTGCCTCTGCCCGCGTGCAGGACAGCCCCCAGTTTTGTCCTTTTTTTGTTTGCGTTTGATAAGTTTAAGCGGTGAAGCAGCCACGTTAGCTTCATTGGGCCCACGCGCCTACCCAACTGCTTGCTATTTTAAAAACGTCTTTTTTAAAAAATGCCAAATGGTTGAGATGGTGACACGAGGTGCAAGGGTGGAGGTGTGCTACAGAAAAAAAAAAAAAAAAAAAAGTTGGGGCAGTGGAGGAATGGTGGGTGTGTCTTCGATGTAGGGCGCGTACTGCCCTGTTCATACTGCTGTCAGTGGCGCTGCGGAACGCGGCTCTGCGGAAGGCAGCTGTGACCACCTAGACGAGCTCCGAAAAGAGCGGCACAGTGCGCACGTAAAAGTGGTTCATCTGGTACTTGCCGTAGAGGTCCCTAAGGTAGCTATTGTGCACGTCGCCCTTTGCCCTGGAGTTGTAGTACACGTCCTCGTACATGGACTTGAGGTGCAAACTGTACGCAGCGCACACCCGAATATTGTGAGAGACAATAAGGTAGCCAGTTTTAAAAATTAAATCTAGAATAAAGATAAAAGCAACTCCGCAATAAAACATACGGACACATTCATCTGTCAGAATTTTGGACTTGTGGTGCATCCATATAAAGAGGAGCAAAAGGAAGCGGGTTAAGAGAGTTAAAACGATAAGTAGGAGATGGTTATTTTTTAAATTATAATTTAGCCTCAGATTCTTAATGAAATTATTTCCTAACATTAGTATGGAAAGTGAAGATAGTCCATGCATGTGCTTTGTATTTATGTATATTAGAAGAGATGCAATCGATATGAATCCCTTATAATCTCCCTTGAAGTTATTTTTTTGGCTTGACTCTTGGTTGTTGAACAGGTTGAATTCATCCGTCTGGAGAGCTCGAGTGGAGGAAGAAGACCCAACTCCGTTGGTTACTTTTCCATCCAAAGTAGTAGTGACCCCCCCGCTGATTGCTTCTGCGCCAACACCGGTGATCGCTGCGGCACCCCCGTTTATGCTCAAAAAAGGGGGTAGCTTACTTTTGTTTGTCTCGTTCATGAAGGGACGAATGATGTAACCAATGAATTGGCGGCCAGACAAGGAACACAAAAACACATAAATATTTCGAATGATCTTGAAGGAAGGAATCACTGCGAAGAGAAGATAAAAATATGGAGCGTACTTTTCAGACGTGCTCAAATTCCTCAAGAAAATCTCAAAAATGTTATTATAGACGAGGAGAAGGAGGAAGAGAAAATCTGAACTGCATTTTACAAAAATGAAAAGAGTAAAAATGAGGACCTCCAATATGCTAGAGAGAAACACAGAACACAAAAGTGATATGACTGAGTTGCCCAGGATTATTAAAAAGGATACGGTGAAAATGATGTTGTTGTGTTCGAACAATTTGTAATACATATCTGACTGTGTGAGGATTATCTTTAAATTGTGAATATCAATTTTTGTGTAGAAGAAGTAAATTACTATTGACATTGCTATTTTCCCCAGGCAGTAGGTTATATAAGGGATGATGAGACGAATCTGGTTGAGGTAGGAGACCTTGAGACTGTCGTCCAAGTAGCAGTGGTACCTTTCATTGTTAGACACGTTGGTGTACATTAGTTTGTTCATTGTAAATTTCTTCCCGATTTTGTTCTTCCTGATGTTTAGCTTTCGGAAGGCGGACACTTGATTCTCGACGAGGTGCTCGAAATATTCGCAGAGGTTTTGGTAGATTGGGGCATGTGTAGTCCCGCTGATCTGTTCACCGTCCTGCTTGGCATCAGCGACGGTTGTGACCTTCTTCTTCCTACAAGCGGCAGCTTCTCCCGGCGGTGCGTCCGCCTCGTTTCTCATCGACTGCACCGATTTGATATCCAACGAGTTGTTGCACCCCATGGTACTCAAAGACACGATGGATCTTTTCTTCAGAACCCCCCCCGAGGGGCGATTCACCAAGTTGGGCTTATTCCCACCAAGAGAGCCATACGGAATGAGAGTGCCATCATCAGACTTGTTGGTGTTGTTATTACTGTTGCTGTGTTTGGTAATCGCCACGGTGTGTCCCACTCGACCGCCATTATCCGTGTGATCTATATTGCGGCGTAGTCTCTCGAAAATTAAATTGCAGTGCTTTATAGTAAGGCACTTGATCGGGATGAAGCACACGTTCTTAATTAAAAGGGGTTGGAAATGTACGTTTGAAACGTAGGAGGCCAGGAAGTAAAAGCGTAAAATCATGAAAGGTATGTCCACCAGGATTATGCCAACCACAGCAGCATGCTTTTTGCAGAAATAAATATCCCCAAGATCCAAATTTTTTCTGTTCTTTTCTGTCACGAGGGAGATAATCGGGAAGGAGTAGGCATTTAGGTAGAGAGAAAAGGAAATTAAGACTCCTCCAATTATTTTGATCCAAAAATTGGTGTTTTTAACAATGTACGAGAGCTTGACCAGAGTGAACAGCAACTCGAAAATGTCAAAGAGGTCTATGACGACGTGAAGCATTAAATTGTTGTGGAAAATATGTTCATTCGTTATGGTCATTTCATCTGGGTACAGCTGCTTGTATGACTTCACAGACAGAGCCGTGTATATGAGAGTGCTCAAACTGAGGAGAGCAAAGATAACACACTTGTTATAATAATCTGTGTTTGTTTCTTCTGAGTAGGCATTTTCGTTGAAGGCAAAAAAGTACATAAAAATAACTTTGAAGGAGATGGAGTACACATACAGGATCCAGCAGTTGCCTCCCTTGACAGCCGCAAAGGATTGGGAGTTGTTGAAGCAGAAGTGGATGAAAATGTATATGTCGAATGTGCAGAGGAGGAGGATGAGTTTGTTGTACTCAAAGAGGATGTAGTACAGCCCCAGCTGCTGCACGATGAAGGTCGTCAGGTTGAAGAAGAAGGAGACACGCCACCCGTTCAAGATTTTGGTGATCATTTTGGTGGGAAGGGGGCAACGGTGAAGAGGTGCAGAGGTCACGATGGGGTGAAGTTAGGAGGATGACAAGTTGCGAGGCTGCCATGTGGCGAAAAAAATTATGACCGGCAAGGTAACAATGACCAAAAAGTGGGGCAAAAAAAAAAAAAAAATCACACACACAAGGTACACACAAAGGCAGCGTCTCAACTCTGCGCGGCAACCGCTATGCTGATCAAACAAGAAATGTAACACACGAACAGACAATATGGCCGGTGAGTCTGAATACGGTCCCCTTTATATTTTTAAGAACAACCAACTGTGTTGCAACAAATTTGTAGCTAGCTAAAAATGTTACTTGTTAAAAAAAAAAAAAAAAAAATATGAACGTTCAGAACAGCAGAACGGAAGATCGGCAACGCGCGCCCGCTGTGGGAAAAAACGAGACGGAATTATACACCTTGTGGGTAGGCGCAAGTGGTGATAACTACACCAGTGTGCATACGCTTAAAACGCTTATGTGTTTATTTCTCCTATGCGCACGCATAAAAAAAAAAAAGGGCACTTTGCGTATGCTCATTGGATACACATATTCGATTATTTTGGAAAAAAAACTGAGGGGTATCACCCAACTCAGTGTTGTAATTGCGTCAAATGGGATTGTGCCATATGCGATGTGGGAAGGGTTAAGAAGTTGCCGCCACTTGCAGCGAACAGGAAACGAAAAAAAATAAAAAAAAAGAGACTTATCACGGTCCACGTGCGAAATGCCGATCTCAGATCAGCACTATGTTTACCTTTATGGCTTTCCATATGGTGGTAGTGGGGGGGTGGAAAACAGGAAGAGGTATAAAAAAATGTGGAAGAATAAGAAGACTCCCCGTGGAAACTTCTTCGCTGAGGCCCTAGCCAAGCAGGGAAAATTTCACCCACTCGCCATGCACATGTCATTATGTGCTTCCGGTATGCATACATAAAGGTCAACATGTGTGTCTACTCATAAGGACAGAATTTGTGTGCCTCTACCCAATGATTCATCCGTTTCTGCCTGTCCGGAACGAAAATGTTCACTCGTGCACAAATCACGGATGAATTTTGCTAATCCCCCCTTGGGCAAAAAAAAAAAAAAAAAAAAAACGCGAAAAAAATGTGCAGACGTGGAAAAAACTCTATGACCAAAGATTAAGGATTCCGATTTGGAGATTAAAAGAATATAAGAAAAATGGAATCTTCACAGAATGACGAATCTACGTTGATGCTCCTACAAGGCATTTGTACTGAGGCGAACCCCGTAGGTGCGTGAAGGTGACCAGATGTAAGTACCTTCAAAAGGGTGCACACAAATGTACATGCAAAATGTTCCTAAGTGTACATACGCACGCAATTCCTCGCGAGCACGTAATGGTATACCCCACTTCGTAGGAGGTAGAAGGGGAAGACGAAGCCTACGCTTCAATCCACCCGTGTGGATCAGCCCACCAGTGCCTTCTCGTCAAGTGCCAGACAAGTATGAATAAACCCGCACAGGGAAAGGCAGCCGGGGAGAGCGGCAAGCCTGGCCCCAGTGGCCAAAGCGGCTTACCTAAGAAGGAGAGGCAAAAAATAAAGCCAATCCAAGTCAGGCGAAGCTTGAAGGACATCCTAGTGAACGAGAATCCCAGTCAGCTCATCCTTAATTATAGCGGGAAAAAAATAGCAAGCGCTTTTCCTGACGAGGATGTGCAGAAGCAGGATATTTTAAGTGAGTCCCACACGGAAGAACCCACAAATGGTGAAGACAAAAGAAAAAAAGGAGGAAATGTTGAAAGACTCTTTAGCACAGAAGCAATCGATAGCCACCAGAAAATGATGATGGAAGAATTGAAAGAGCTCCTAAGCAAAGAAGACTTAACTGATGAAATGAAAAATAATATTAAATCCCTCTATATAGAAGTGCAGGAAATTTATATGGAAATAAAAAACGACTTAAAAAAAAATTGTCCCTCATCGGAGGATATTCTAAACTTGTATCGATCTGACGACATCAACAGGAAGAGTAAAAATGCCATTTGGAAAAAATTTTGTTTTTACAAACTTCTAGGGGATCAGATGAGCGATATTCACATTTGCACGATTTCATCCTATCGGTTACAATATTTGAAAACCATTTATAAGTGGTACTGTAAGAATAAGCGTGTTTTGTTTGGTGCTCGGTGTGGTCATCGCTCTGGGGCGGGAGGGTCCTGTGCTCGCGGCGATGACACGACCACGGAAGACACGAGTAGTAGTGTTACCACGGATGGTGACATGTGCGAAGATGATACCTCCAATGGTGATGCTACCAAGGATGATTCTACCAAAGAGCTGATCGGTGTGCAGAAGCAGATCGAGGAGGGGGCGGTGGACGGGAGCGAGCCAGTTGAGGCAACTGCCCCCGCCGACGCAGTGACGTGTGCGGAGGGGGAAACATCCCAAACTGAGGATGGCTCATCGCCGCCAAGGGGAGAAGCAAATGGGGTGAAGAAGGAGGAGGGCGAAGAAGGGGGTGACACAGGACACTATGGGAGGGAAAACTCCGACCAGTTCGATGATCTTCTCACAAGGCACATGCAAGAAATAAAGAAACCTGGTGGTGAGGGGGACAAGAGAGAAGTAGATTGGAGCCACCAACAGAAGGAAGAAGAGCAAAACAAACCAAGAGATAACATTCTAGCGAGTTATATATTTCCAAATTCGCTTTTTGAAAAGGGCGAAAACGGTACACCCGACATGGAGGCAGACAAACCATGTGACAATGGAGACAGGAAAAATGCCATCGAGTTGGACTGCACCGTGGGGGAGGACCTGCTGCCGACCCAGATTGACACAAAGAGGATCCTGGAGTTGGAGGAAGAAATTAAACGACAGAAGCTTCTAATCAAGGAGAAGGAAATTGAAATAATTAATTCTCCAATTGGGATCAAATTTAAGGACATCTTTGGAAACTTCCAGGACATTGATATAAACGAGTAAACAGTTTTCGCCATGTGGGCATGCGTGCATGTGGTGGGGGTGGACGTAGGACACAGTTGGCACGAGAACAGGGTAGACGTTATGCAGCTTATAAACTTAGCCCCTTTGTGAAGGCGTGGTTTAGTGTCTTCAGTCGGGGAAAACGAAGAAGAAGTGAGCGTGTTAGAAGCGTTTTTACATGCATACGGTCGTGTGCGAACTCACATGGTTATATGAACGTACAATATACCTTTCACACCTGCCTGGGGGGTTCCCCGCGAGGCGAGTCAAAAGTAATTCAGGCAGTTCTCAAACAGGACTGTATACTCGTAGGAATATTTTTCATACACGCTGGTGTGTGTGGTTGGCTCGTGTAAGGCGTCTTTTTCCTTCTGACTTTTTGAAATGCCTGTCCCTTTTTCCTCTCGTCCGTCTCCTGAGAGAAAATTGGGGGAAGGGTAGAGAAGCAGCGTCGTAAAGAGCGGCTTGCAAAACGCGGCGCTTTTCGTAGGGAGCGTCTTGTAATAGTGTAGTCGCTTGGCTCCTTAGCGCACTCGTTGGAGTTCACTTCTTTGCGCTCCACTTCCTCCTCAAACCCTACGCGAGGCTCTGCTGAGGTCCAGGAAGAGCGCCTGCGTGAAGATGCTGTCCATAGCGACGTCCCGGTCCACCTTGGAAAAAATTAAATACATAACGGACAAAAGAATATTCACAAAAAAAATTAAAAGAACAAAGGAAATATTTATTGCGTCCTCCCTGCGTGCGAGGAAGCATGAGAAAAAGTAAAGCACCAACTTAATAGCAATTTCTTTTATGTGGCAAAAGAATAAAAAATTATCGACTCGTGTATTTTTAATTAAATTTTTGCTGATTATAATTCTGTTAAGCATGATGGGTCCCTTCATGTGTTTGATCAGTTTAAGGATAAAGGAGGACACCACTGATATGGGTGTTAAGACGTGTTCGTTCGTTTCTGCGGTTTGTCTCTCCCTTCCTTTGTCTTCGTTTTCCCTGCGCGTTTTTACTCGTGTTCGGTATGTGATGTACTTGCGTCCGAGGAGCATGTAGATAAACATGTACGTGTCCGCGAGGAAGAGGTAGACCTGTGAAAGGGGAGCGGTTGAGAAGTGGCTGTTTGGCGGCGATAATTTTACCAATTTGCCCCGTTTAATATGGCTTCCCCCCTAGGCACCTCCCCCCCCCTGCACCGCCCTACCAGGTAGCCAAAGAGGATGAGAACCACGAGCGTGTTCTTGTTTTTATTAAAGTAGTCCAGCATGTCGTAGGAGGGGTTATATTTGGACACGATGAGAAGGACGAAAAAGAATGAAAGAAGATTAAAGACATACATTAGGGACATAAAAATCCCATCGAATAGGGAACAGGTAAATAGGTACAAAAGGAAGGAACAAAATGAATAAACTAAAATGATTAAAGAATTAATTCGGATAATCCAGCAGGACTTCAGCGGGTTCATATTCCATTGGTAAGTCAATTCATACAAATGCCGGTTCAGGTCTTGATCAAAGTCCATTGTGTAAGTGACCACGAGGATGCCAATTTTTGTGGCTATTAGAATGAAGAAGAAGAGGAAGATCAGAGAGTAGCCCATGGAGTTCTTCTCAATTTGATCCACATAGCAGGACATGTATCTTTTGAAGTTCACCCCAATGTATTTTAAATAATGAAAATAATATTTTGAACTAATTATATTATAATTTAGATTGTCAATTCGGGAGTACTGAATATTTTTAATCGCATTTATATTTATGGTGTCGGTAGACAGGTAGCTCCTGCTCAGGAGATATTTGTTAACATGGCTTTCCTTCACGTGTAGGTTGTTGGATGGTCTGTTTGTGCATTTTCTCTGCCGTGCATCTTGGTGGTTGTTAGTCCTTTCTTCTGAATGGGTCTTTTCACCCTGATCGGTGTAACTCCCCCCCTTGGCTGCGTTTTTCCGCTGGCCCTTCTGTTCCCTGCGACGGTTGTAGAATTTAGACTTGCGGTAGATGCGTGACCCGTGGATGATGGCGAAGCAGAGATTCTTCATGATGAACTGGGGCGAACCTGCACAGTTGAGAAGCGATGAGGAGATTTGTGTGTGTGTGTGTGGGGGGGGGGGGGGGCAATTAGGTGGTGGGGAAGTGTGCGAAAGGGTTGGCGATGGCCCTTACACGCGGTGGCCGAGAAGACCAGATAAAGGAACAGCCGCGCCATGAAGAGAGACACATCGGTGAAGAAGAAGCTGTATATGCTGATGTACTTGAGGCAGGACATGGCGTCCCCGCCGACCTTGGACCTTGGGAGGAAGGCCTCAGTGGAAGTAGAAGCTAAAGCGGGGGAAGAAGTTCCCCCAAATAAGCCCCTACTAATCGAATGCTTCCCTTCCATTTGTTGAGGTCCCCCCAGAGAGGTACCCTTTCTGATAATAGCCCCACTAGGAGGGTGCCCATAATGGTTTTTCCCTCCTCCATTGGTAGCTTTGTTCTGGTCGCTGGTCCACCTGGTAAGCGCCGCGTTACGACTGTAGGTGTGTAGCAAATGGGGTCCACTGGACGGAAGGTCTCGTACATGTTCTCTTCCCCCCCCTTTAGCGAAGAGCTTCCACCTCTTGTTACTTTCGTAGGAAAAGCTCGGAAGTGAGTAGGCGTGGATAGCTACATTTACGCAGAGGAGTACACCAAAAAGTACGAAGACACCTTGGTAGGTATGCAAGCAGAAGGAATAAAATTCGACGAAGCTCTTCCGATCTATGGCTGCATGAACAAACAGGTCTGGGTTAGTAATGAGTGATAGCTCTTGTACAACTCGGAAGTGGTAAAGGAAAAAATGAAAATTAACACAAAAAAAAAAATCAGATATGTCCATTAAATCAATCGACACGTGAGTTATTATGAGGAGACAAAAAAAAATTTCAAGGTTTATAAAACGCACTTTGAGCAGATCGAAATCGGTCACGAGAAAAAACAGAATGTAGACCAGTATAGAGATGAGGATCGTGGAGCTGATGATGTGGATGTTGTTTGCGTAGGTGTCTAGTTGTATGGGTAACGGTGGGGATGGCCCTCCTCCACCGACTTCCTCATGATGTCTTATGAGGGCTCTCGGAAGGGAGACGTAGTAGATCACCGTTATCTTAGCCACGACGCTATAAACGTAAATCATGTACATGTGAGTATTGTTGGCTGATCTGACTTGTAAGTAGAGGAAGATGGCCAGCAGACCAGCATCTAGCATGAGCGCGAGCATTTTACTGGTCATCAGTTGCCACGAGAGAAGCCCCTCTTGGGTGGCTATGGCCGCTAGAAGCAGCAGCTTCAGCAGGAACACCGCGCGCTTCATGAGGGATACTCAGCGGAGGGTTTTGCATAAGCGGAGCGTCTGGCTGAGCGAAGCGAAGCGGCTTGTGTAGGCTAAGTGAGGTTACGTTGAGCGTCTGGCAGATAAGGAAGCACACCTCTTCCGCCCCGTCTGCGTATGCGTATGCACCACTACAAATCGCTGGGCGCGCGCCAATTTGAGCGATTAAAAATGTGTAGACGGCATTGAGGGGCCTACCGCGTGGAGCAATCCTCTTCCTATTTTGTGAAAAAAGGAAAAGAAGTGTAAAATAGAAAGAAGCGGTGCAGAAGCACTTGAATGATGTTATTTTTCTCTACCTTGAATGTCCCATTTTTTTTTTTTTTTTTTTTTCTTGGGGATTATTCCGACCCGGATGATACTACCAAAATGAGGGGTGTAGCGTTCCATCGGTGCGATGCCAGACGATCCACACGTAGGGGCGCTTTTTACAAAGATCCCATTTGAAGCGGTTCCATTGAAGTACCCCATTTGACGCGTCAAGAGCAGGATGACATGAACGAAGAATATTCCTCCTTAGCGCATCTCCCTCATGCGGATCTACTTCTGTAACCATTTAGCCAAATGGCGAAGTGTTAGAAAAAGGTGTGTACCCTCTTTGGACGCGCGAACCTTTATCGTGTGAATTAGCTAGCTGTGCGTATCAACCGGGCCACCATAAACCTGCACGTGTGTACGTACATGGTAAGGAGAGATTGCTCCCTGTTTTGGGGGGAGTACATCCCCCAGAATATGGGCTCTAAATTTTTTTTTGCAGAGTGGGAGGGGCACATTGTGTGAGAGAGCTTGTTTGGTGATTTTTCCTCCAAGTGGTACGAAGGTAGGAGTAACACCACTGCGACCAGGGGGGAGGGTGTGGCCTCGTGAGGATTTCGCAAATACACAGCTGACCAGGGGAGCGATATTCCACAACATGGGGGATACAAGCATATCCGTTCAAGCCACTTTACAGTAACATCAATGGGGGGATAAAAAAAAATGAACATATAATAATTTAGCGCCCTTTTGGTGTTTCTCCCATTATTAACATGTTTATTTGCAACTCTCACATGCGGGAGAAACCACACAAGAAAAAATTAAACAAAAGAGGAAGGGGAAGATGTATGTAATAACCCTCACCGTGTAGAAGTCGAATGTGTGCACTACGGTAACAAAAAAAAGAAAAAAAAAAAAAAAAGCAAGAGCTGGAGCGCAGCGGGAGGGTAGGGCTTATTGACGGACTGACTGAAAGAAGCTTTAGAATATACCCGCGTGCATACAAAAAATATCAGGTGTATTTTACTGTGCCCCCCCCTGCCCACGCGGTATGCGAAATAATTTTTTGTGTATCGTTTGAACTGCGTGTGGTGATGCAGCCAAGGTACTTGAAGCGGGGGTTATAATGACTTGCTGGGAGGTCATTCTTTTTTTTCTTTTTTTTTTTTTTTTTCCTCTGGAGCATATCTGACGTAAAATTAAAAAAAAAGGGAAGCAGCACAGTGGAAGTATAGTTAACAAGGAAACAGCACTTCGCAGCAACCCGTGAAAAAGCAACGAATAATCGCTAACTGTCGCAGGGCGAGGGGAAGCGGAAGAGAAGAGAAACATTCCTGCCCTCACTTGTGTGGTCACACGTTCCCCCGTTTTTTGTTACGTTGTTCCCCTCTGAACATAACCTCTTTTCGCGCAGTTGTGTTGGAGTTGCATGAGTATTCCTTCCACACCCCGCACAGTAAGTGTGCTTTCAGTTGACCTTTTTTTTTGAACCTCCTAAGGTGTACGTGGAAGAGCGCGTGACGTGGAATGGCAAGGGTGTAGCGTGGCCTGAAGTGACCTCATCGCACATCGCACATCTCAGATTTGATTTATTTTCTCCTTTTTTTTTTTACCCCTTTAAGTCGCTTATTAAGGAGAGGAAAACTTCTTGTGAGATTGCCCAGGACGCCCTCCCCCCCAGTTGTATGTACACTGGGCGAGCATGCGAAAGTGGACTCGATAATTGATTAACATCATCATACAAGTGGTACCATAGAGAAGTGGTACCATAGAGAAGCGCTAACATAGAGAAGCGCCACCAGTAGTGGTGTGTGTAATAATAATAGGAGAGAAGCAGGGGTTTTTTGAAGCAACCCATATGTAAAATATTGTTAACAAACCTTCCTTGCGTTAGGCCGCTTCTCCACAACACACCATGCAGTCAGCGCCAAAAATGCGGCTGTTGGTGCAGCAGATGAAGAGGAGGATCAGCTGGAGCAGCTGCTCAATGATGGCATACTCGACAAAAATAAGCCCCGTGGAAATTTCCAAAATCCTGGAGAAGAAATTTGAGAATTTCGATTTTAAGACTTCCGCAAATGAAGTGGGATATGTGTTAAGTGTAGGAGATGGTATATGCAGAGCGTTCGGTTTGAATAATGTGAAGTCTTCAGAGTTGTTGGAAATTCATAACAGTGATGCTTCTGCAGGGGGTGGTGCTTCAAGCATCACATATGGTATGGCAACGAACTTGGAGTACGACAATGTTGGGGTCGTTATATTTGGTAACGACAGGAACATAAAGGAAGGAGACATAATAAAACGAACGAACAGGATTATTGATGTGAGTGTTGGTCCTGAGTTACTGGGTCGAGTGGTGGATGGGTTGGGTAAAGAGATTGATGGAGGGAAGCCTATTCAGACAAATGAAAAGAGGAAGATTGAAATAAAGGCACCCGGAATTATTGCACGTAAGAGTGTAAATGAGTCGATCATTACGGGAATAAAATGCATTGACAGTTTAGTGCCTATCGGGAGAGGACAAAGAGAATTAATTATTGGGGACAGGCAGACAGGAAAGACAGCTATAGCAGTGGACACAATAATTCACCAAAAGAATATAAATGAACAAGTACCTGAGAATGAAAGAGTGTATTGTATTTACGTTGCCATTGGCCAGAAGAAGAGTAACATTGCCAAATTGGTGAATTTATTAAAAAAGTACGATGCGTTGAAATACACCATCATTGTAAATTCCAGCGCATCTGATGCTTCTCCTCTTCAGTTTTTAGCTCCATATACAGGTTGTGCTATGGCGGAATATTTTAGAGACAATGGAAAACATGCGTTGATTATATTCGATGATTTGAGTAAGCAGGCAGTTGCATATAGGCAGTTGTCTCTTCTTCTGAGGAGACCTCCAGGAAGAGAAGCTTACCCAGGAGATATTTTTTATATTCACTCGAAACTCCTAGAGAGGTCTTCCAAATTGAACGACAAGCTGAAAGGGGGGAGTCTTACCGCGCTGCCCATCATAGAGACGCTAAATAATGATGTGTCGGCTTACATACCTACCAACGTCATTTCTATTACGGATGGTCAAATATTTCTTGAAAGTGAATTGTTTTACAAGGGGATCATCCCGGCCATTAATGTTGGTTTGAGTGTATCTCGTATTGGAAGTAGTGCCCAGTACAAGTGCATGAAGAAATTAGCGTCCTCCATGAAATTGGAGCTAGCTCAGTTTCGTGAAATCGTGGCCTTTTCTCAATTCGGTTCAGACTTAGATGCATCCACGAAGAAGCTCATAGAGAAGGGGAAAATTTTAACGGAAATATTAAAACAGAAACAGTACTCCCCTGTTAGCATCAGCTACCAGATTTGCCTCATTTATGCGGCCACCAAAGATTACCTCGCCAGCCTTACCATTGACAAGGTGCAGGATTTTGAGAAGCGCTACTTTGAGTACCTCGACAATAACTACGCAGATGTGCTGAAGAAGATCCAGGGCAACTGCGACTTGGCCGAGGTGGAGTACCAGATCAAGGAAAGCATCGAGCGCTTCCTCGAGCTGTACAAGGCCGAGACGGCGTAATGGGTGCGGCGTTAGCGAAGCGTTAGCGAAGCGGTGCAAACGCGTTGCGGCAGCGTTGCAAACGCGAAATGATCAACCGGCCGAGCTTCCAATCAGAGAGCCCTTCCCTGGGGAAGAACAAAGTTATTTATTAACGTGTCTCTATCGGGTCGCTAATAAGTCGAAGGCGCCTTCAACTTTGAGAAAGCCGCGACACACCCAGGGGCCGAGTAGGGAGGTGGGGGGATATTATCATCCCCCAAAAAAGAGGAGAATAAAAACTCTTTTTTTTTTTAAAAGTCAGCATCGATTCCTGCTATACTGCTGCGCGCCCCGTCCCGCCCCGTAGTTTGTGTAGGGTAGCATCAAAACTTTTTATTGCTGTTCCACTTTTTTAAAAAGTTGCACCAGTATTTCATAGTACAGGGACCTCCTGCTTACCAAAAAATTTTTCTTCACGAAATGGTATGAAAGGAAATTTTTACAATTCTGTAGCACTTGCTGCCGAGTGGCTTCTTCGTTCAAGGGGTACAGGTCTGCAGGGGGAGGAGGGGACATCACCCCATGGGTCGTGTTTACCAGATGATCCTCTCCCCCAACTGAACGTTTTTCCAACTGCAGAACCATTTGTGGAAGAATGTCCTTCAAATAATTCTTAAGCTTCAACAAATCAAATTCCAAATTAAGAATGAGTTGTGTTGAATTTATTTTCTCACAAGTACGATTCGCTCTTGTGCCGTTTCCTTCTCTCCCCTTCCACTTGTCACTGATGGAGTCCCTCTCTAAGGTGCGGATCCTCCTGGAGGCCATCTCGTGTGCACTGCGCCAAAGAAACAACTCGATGGGGAAAAAATAAGGCCAGTGAATTTTTCCAAATTTTCTCTCAACATAACGAACGTGTTTTAATTTTACCTTTCTCGTGTGGCGATCGTAATGGATTAGCATGTGAATGAGAGAGCAGAGAAGGGGGAGGGCAGTCTCTTCCTTAATCACTTCAATTTGGGAGACGAGATGAAGTAGGTGAAAGTAGAGTGGCTTGTACACATGTGTGCACTGGCCGAAGAGGATTAATAAAAATATTTTCATTTCATCAGGGAGAGATGCTATGTCGTGTTGGAGCAACCACTTGGAAATGGAGAAGTATACGGTCGAGTGGTAGAGGCCATTCAGGCTGTATGTGGCGATGAAGGTAATCATGTCGTCTAGGGTAAAGTCATGTTTGTTCCTTATAAGTAGCTTCTCCATCTGGGTGTAGACATCGTGCGTGTGGTTATCCGAGTTGGGGTGAACGGGAAAGGTACGCCAACCGGGTGAACCAGGACAGCTAGCTACACGTTTTGAAGTGGGCGAGCGACCCCCTTTGAGGGTTAAATAGGCAGCCCGCACCTTCGCAACTAGTGACTTGTTTAGAAGCGGCTTATTCCCCCCACACCCGGTGTGCATATAGAAGTACCTGTTGCGAAATCTCTCATGGTCTTTTTGTAACGTGGTCTCGAGGTGGGCCTGGACCGACGCGCCTTTCAACCTAGACCTGTTCAAATGGTACAGGATGATGAGGAAGCGCTTCGTCTGGAATGGTGTGCCGTCAAGGTAGTTGGACAGCATGGTTAGGAGGTAGTTGGCACCGCACTGCAGAGTTATCGCGGGGAGTGTACTGTCCGTTTCGTATGTGTACTTGACCGCAGAAGGGGAGGGTGTCTCGGTGGTCTTTACCACGTTATGAGTCCCCTGGGTAACAAGTGGTGGCTCCTTATCCTTGGTGATAACTCCCTTATCGTGTATCCTAAACTTGCTGAGTATGATTTTGTGCAGAGTGTCGTAGTTGGTGGTGTCCCCTCCTGGGAGTTCATTATCTCGAATGGGGGACTCGTCAATTTGTAGGGCACGTCGAGTGTCTCGGTCCTGCACGATGGCGCGCACCTCCTGGTAACGGTACGCCCTGACGGTGTGGACAATCTGTAGGAGGTTCTGCATTCGGTCAAGGGGCAATGTGTCTTCTTCACTTGGCTCCCCCGTCTTAGAGGTAGGTCCTGTTGCTTCTCCCCTTCCCCACGGAGCTCCCCCAAATTTCTGTATCGCAACGAAGATGTGAAACCAGTTGGATAATTTTATAAGGTACATGTTTTTCATGACGTAGGTGAAAATTTCATAAAAAGTTTTTTCCACTTGGTTAAGGAGCTTATTCTTTTTCCGTCGTGGGTCGACTTCCTCCCGGGATAAGTCACCCCCCATCTGAACGTACTCCACAAATGAGTGGCTTATATAAAGCAAAGACTTGGCGAGACAGTTTAATTGGGACTTGTGGAAATATTTTTTATTGTACTGCGCGTTGAAGTAGACGTTGTTTACGATTCGTGAGATGGCGTCCTTTGCTTGGAAGGGGAGAGAATGATTCTCGGCTGGGGGTGAGTTAGTAGATAGGTGACAAACGTTAGAGGGGTTATCTTCGTGGTTGTCCTTTTTCATCGCCCCCTTAATTTCTTCATATGGTAACAATACTGTCTGCTGCTCCAATTGGGCATTTTTACATGAGAGGAGCGGCTTCTCCTGGACTGGAAGCTCTCTCCTGCGGGGGGTTTCCCCATGGATATGCTCAAATAGGTTATGAAGGAAGGGTACCTGTTTGTCGGGTGTACTCATCACATGGTTGGAGGTCCACCAGCGGGTGAGTCTCCAAAGAGGGGAGTCTTCTCCATAGTAAGTTTTACACATATGTCCACGTCCCATGGGTGTGTTTTTCCCCCACGCCTTGCGCAGATCAGACACGATTTTAGAAAGATTATTTCTGCATAGAAGATTTTCCACATGGGATGAACTACTATTGTGGTGATATAGCATTCGAAAAAATTTCAACAGGACCTTCACATTTTTATCACTCACTTTGGTGTTAATGTGATACAGGTGCTTCAAATGATCGTATTGATTATTTTTTAATTTTTCGAATGGGGTCGAGAAGGAGAAAGCCATTTTCATCTCCTTCAATGTGTTACTTTCTTGCGCTGCTGTTGAGACAAGCTCGTTTGTCGCTACTGGATGGTCATGCGGAGGCGGGGCGTCTACATGGGCATGGTTACTTGGCTGCTTCACTTGCCCATCACGTCCCGCTTGTTCGCCTACTTGGTGTTCTTCCTGTGGTTCCCCCCCGCGGACACCGCCCCACTTGGTCCTCCCCCTTCCTTGCTCCGTAATGTATGAGGGGAAGACCTTCACCTTGGTGGTTTTCCCCCTCGTAAGGAAGGAGTCCCCATCTCTGCTCAAGGCTAAAATGTTTAAGTGGTTTATGCAGAGGTTGTATCTGCCCAGGGTTAGGATTCTTTGTAGGTACTCGTAATCCTGATTCTGCTTTAGCACTTCTACGTTGTTGAAGAATATTTTTCTGTGTAGGTGGAGAGAGAGGTCGTTAAGGAAAAGGTTTAGGTAAATATTATTTCGACCAGCACACCATTCCATGTAGTTTAAGTAATCCCATTTTATGTCCCCATCAAGGGGAACCTTTTGTGTGTCCTTTACAATGTTAATTAGTTTCTTTTTAAGAACATCATCTAGCAGTTGTTCCTCCGATTTGAAATCAGGAGTGATGGCAAAGAGGTAAGACCCTTTCGACAACAGGTTCATTATCTGTGGTAAGGTAATCTTGTGTGCATTTCTAATTAGGAAGCGGACGTAGTGACCTCTAAGGTGGTAGTTTACATGGTAAAGGTTTATTTCGCTAACCAATCTGAGACACTGGGTGAGAGTCATTTGATCCTTGTCCAGGAGACTCTTCAAGTAGTGTACTGTTTTGGAGGCATATTTTAATTGTTGAGGGAAAATGTAAAGGAAGAAAAAGAATTCCTTTTTCGACATGAGATAGCAGTTGTGACTTAGGTACTTGTAGATGCAGCTGAGGATAACGTCTCTCTGCTTCTTACTTATGTATTTATTTTTTCTTATGTTGTTCAGTAGGGAGTACATATTTTTCATTTTTATTTTTTGGACAAACTTCATGTAGAGCATTTCCTCTTGCGACAGGTCGTACGTGTCTCGCAGGGCCTTCTCATCCTTGCGCACCTTTCGCTCCATCGCGGTGGGGATGGCGGCGGTGGTAGAGACCGTAGCAGCATGAGCGGTGTTAGGGCTGCTTTGCAGCGATGTGGCCACGGGCTTGGCTGACGCCTCGCCGATGGGCCGCCCTGCCCCCCTGTCGAACCGCTCAATCTGCGCCCTACTTTTCACATACACATATTTGTCCTTGTCGAAAAAGTACTTGCACGTTTTTTTCTCCTTTCCATTCAGGTCAATCCGCACGACCTTTTCATGCTTCGACAGGGCCTGCAGCTTTTCCCTGTACTCGTTTATGGCCCCTGGCTTTTGCTTCTGCCTGTGGATTCTGAGGGCCTGGCGCGCACCCGCAGAGGCGCCTCTACAGCCGATCTGCATGGCGCAAACGCACCGCTACGCTTGTGTGATGATCGTTTAGATGAAACAACGTCACGCAGGGGAAAAAAGTGAGCGCTGAAGCAGCGTGTGTGTGTGGTTATATTCTGCTCACGAAGTGAACATATAACATGTTAGCATGCGCGAACATTTTTTTTTTTTTTTTCCCTGGCGACGATCGGCTTAATGTGCCGGGCTATGCATCTGTTGTTAACGCCTATGGTGGAGTACGTACCACATTTGCGCCAAATAAGGTGCACCTTTTTTTTCACGTATCTACATTTGTCATGGTAGAACACTTCACAGGGTGTCTCCGACGCAAATGAGGTGGTTAGAGGAGGCTATGCGGACGATCAGACCTCCGAATGAGAGTTGTGGGAGGAACAAGTCGACCCCGCGTTTTCCAACTGCACCTCGAACTTGCAAAAAGGTTGTTACGCTCTATTGCGCTTGTAACCAATCAACCGGTGCACTTATGGGTTAGCGAACTTTACTCCACTAGAGAGTCAACGCGGAGGCTGCTCCCCTTCTTTCCATTCGAGTTGCTATTTTAAGTGTTCATTGAGCGGTAAAAAAAAAAAAAAAATACAGAAAAATTGGTGGGGCATTCCCAACGAGGGGTAGGAAAACGACGTGATAAACAAGCGGTGATAAAGAAGCGCAGACGTAAAAACGGTGACAAAGAGAAGGTGACACAGAGTAGTTCCAACGACCCACGTGGCAACGGGCACAGTGTCCCCAAAGCAACGCCAAAAAAAAAAAAAAAAAAAAAAAAGAGATAATTGTACCTTTTACAAAAACGAATAGAACGACATGCTGCTTGGAAGGTAATGCAGCGTCAAATTTGAAGGGGCATGAAATATGTGCTCATTGAATTACGAATATGTGTTGAGCACGCATGGTGGTTGGGGTGTGTATAGGGGCCTAACACACTTGACGTAGTTTATATGGATGTGGTTCCTGTCAACCCTAAACATCCCCCCCAAATCTCAAATGACTTTTTTTATTTTACTTATTTTGTCGAGAATAATATTTTTGTTCACCTCATAGATGTATCCCCCCAGGATGATGTGGTCAAAAAAGTAATACAGGAAATGGAAATTGAAAAGGAGGTCCAGCTCGCACACGTTTGTGAAGAAGGTATCTAGAAGTTGCGCCATGAAGTGGATGAACTCCAGGATGTACAGTTCGTTTTCGTTCTCGATGCACACGACGAAGTAGAGGCCTGCGCGGGGTGAGGGAACATGAGCGGCAAATGAGCGGCAAATGAGCGGCATAATTTGCAGCACAATGTTCAGCACAAGCGACATTGTAGGGTTCACTTCCACTCCCTCAATGGTGCTTCTACTCCCCTCCCTTACCTGCGTATAGCCTGTACACAATTTTAAAATTCTCGTACACGAAGATGTTCGCGTAGGACCTACTTCTGTTGATTAAAATTTTGTTGATGTCTCTCTCGATCTTCTTCTGCTTGGCTTCGTTGCAGTTGATGTACCTTCGGGGGGAGCAAAAAAGTTGCAGCAGTTGTGGGTACACGTGGGGCGGCGCACAAGATGAGATGTGCAGGACATCTGCACAACTCCTACCCCCTCACCACTTACCATTTTGAAAACCGTGTCTTCCCCTGCCTATTCTGCAAAAGAATAAAATTCAACATTTTGCAAAAGGGAGAGGAAAGAATCGTTTGGAAGGGGTGACGGTGATGACGGTGCCTCGATTGGGAGGTGGTTTAACTTCGGGTCGCCTTCGCTACGGAGAAACTTCAAGCGTAAGCGGGGTCGCACCGGGGAGAGGGGAAGAAAACACAAAAACAGAATGGCGAATTAGGTAAAGGACCAATTTAACACAGGAGGTCAGTCTTGTTAAGTTTTTCCTTTCAATGGGGAGATTTTTAAATATACACGGTGTATGAGTGTGTGCTGGTAACGGTTAGGCAACATACATTATGCACCTTTCATTATCTCATCATCATCATACCCGGTGAATGCTAAACCATTTGTTCCTCTTCAAAATAATATGTTTGTTTCTGTGCGGAGTGCGTCTCATTGGTGAGAAGGGCGAATCATGGGTTTGTCGTTCCGCTCTTCTGGTTAGTATTTTTAAAAAATAAAAAAAATATTGCTGATCTGATCATGCCAGAATATACGAATGGTGTACGTAGCCGAGTGTCTGTCGGGGGAAGGTCCAACCAGGTGTGGCCATTAACTTCACCTGTTTGCAACAGTGTAAACGATTGCAGCCGCGTTCATCCCACTCTCCCTTAAGAATTAAAAAGGGTTAAAATCCTCCTACTGAACATGGCCAATTATGTTTGTCACATCAACTTTGTGCTATTTCGGCAGATGCATTGGTGTTCGCCTTCACGTTAGAGCGGGACTACCCCCTTTGGTTGGTACGGATGGGCGCATATATACATGCATATGTACTTGCATACATATGTACATAGCCTCTCTTCGCAGTTTGCGGGTGGAGAAGCAACACTACTTCCAAATGGGGGACACTACGGTTGGGGATGCACTGCGAGGAGGTAGCAAACATGTTAGTATAGCAATTTCCGCGCACTGTTTAATGATAAAAACACGCGTGTCATTGCGCCCCCCCTGTGCAAAGTCAAATGGGTAAAATGAAAACCAAAAAAACAAAAAAAAAAAAAAAAAGTTATGCCTGAGAGGGTGTTTTCTTTTTTTGTAACTCTTCAAATGGAGTAGGGACTAAAATTTGTTCGATACGGGAGAACTTTGTGAAGCTGCATAGGAAGGCTCCAAAACTTTATGAGTCGGGAAATTATTTATTTATTTTTTTTTTTTATTATTTTTTATTTATTCATTTAATTTTTTTTTTTGCCTACTTTGCTGCTGCTCCGAGCGAATCCTATTTGCGTAGCCCCCTTTAGCAGTCCATCCACGCCTCTTACCTCTATTTCCATTGGCTACGCCTTGCCACATTTAACTTCTAATCGAGCAAATTGGCCTGTTGTCCCCTTCGGGCAATGCCCCTTCACACCTCTTTTAAAGAACACGGGACACGCCTACGAGAACCAATGCAGATCAATCAAACGACATACAGTGAAGAAGTTACACGAATGGAACGGAGCAATCGCTAACATAAGGGGGAAAAAAAAAAAAAAACACTCGTGTACGAATTCACCATGAGATTCTTTATATGTCAAGTAAAAAACAGGTGTCCCTTCACACCCAAAGGAGTTCGCTATGTGTCATCCAAAAAGATATCCAACGTACGTTTTGTTAATGTGGGAGTGGTGCATGCTGGACTTGTTCCACTTGCCAATTTGTGCAAAACAGTTGAGGGTGATTTTTGCGGCACACAATGATGCTTCCCTTTATGGTCACACACATATGTACCGAGTGATCCTCATAAAAAGGACGACACATTGGACACTTCTTCGACCATATCAGTCTAACACGTTGCATATGTTATGCTTATCCATTATCCTCTCCCCCCCACCCCTTTTTAGTACTACCCCCCCCAAGGGCCAAGCGTTAAAGACATGGATGAGGAGTACAAGAGGTTCCTTCAATTGAAGAGAAGAGAAAAAGTTTTACCCGACAATAAAATTACAAGCATTGATATTAATACGTTTAAAAAGTATAAGCACAAAAACAACCCCATTTTTTCCACCGAATTTAAGGTGTTCATAACTGGTTTTTTAATTTGCGGTTGGTGCGTTTTTGCAATTTATCTGACCGTGAGGATTATGTCTCCTGATGATTTCGAATGGGTGGAAAGTGAGAGGAAGAGACTGGAGGATGCCAAAAAAAAAATTATGATAATAAAGGAAAGGGGACAGGAGGTGGACCCCGTGTGAGGACAGGGGAAGCGTTCCCAATTTGTATTAGCTATTTGGAAAAGTAAAAACAAAAAAAAAAAAAA